AAAGAAAACAGAAAGATATCCCCTGTGGTTGGATAGGCAGAACCTATACAGTAAAAATGGCCATTACTTCCTGCCTTAGTTACTTCTTCTCATTGCTGAGACAAAATAACCAACATCCAAAGTTAAAGGAGAAAAGGTTTATTATGGCTCACCGTTTTTAGAGGTTTCAGTCCATTATCAGTTGGCTCCAAGGCATGGTGGGATGGCAACGGGGCATCACAGAGGAGAAACAGTTTATGTCAGGCAGAAGGTGGCAAAACAGCAAAGCAGCAGGAGTGATCGACAACAGCAGCTCTTTCTGTTCCTTATATTCTTTTTGAGACAGGTGATCACTATGTAATTCAGGTTGTCCTTGAATTCACGACATAGCCCAGGCTGGCCTCCAACTCATAGCAATTCTCCTGCCTCAGCCTCCCAAGTGCTGGTATTACAGGTGTGCTCATCAAGCCTGGCTTGTTCCTTATAGTCTATCCAAGCTACTTGTCCTCACATCCAGGGTGGGGCACCCTTAGTCCTAGCCTCACATCGTGAATCAACCCCAGCATCACATCTTAATCCCAGCATCACACACTCTACATCCAGCCATCTCCAAAAAGCCCCACATATGGCTACATGAGGCTTTGGAGGGACCTCTAGATACAAGCTATAACATTTGCAAAACTATTATATAGATTTAATGCAATCCCAATCAAAATACCAACAGCATAATTCACACAACTAGAGAAAATAATCTTAAAATTCATATGGAACCAGAAAAGACCTAGAACAAAAGCAATTCCAGGCAACAAAGGCAACAAGGACAAGGCTGGGAGTATCACAATCCCTGACTTGAAGTTATACTACTAAGCTACAATGATAAAAACAGCATGGTTCTGGCCAAAAAAAGACTTGATCAATGGAACAGAGTAGAAGATGCAGAAACAACTCGAAGCATACTCAGCTACCTTATCTTTGACAAAGGAGCCACACACTTTCATTGGAAGAAATATGGCCTCTTTAATAAATGATGCTGATAAAACTGGCTTGCAATATGCCAAAGATTAAACCAAGACCCTATCTTTCACCACACACTAAATTCGAAATGGATCAAAGATCTAAACAGTGACTTGCAGAAAGATGGCAGAGAAGCAAGCAGCAAGAAATTAACCTCTCCAAGATTTGGAATCCAGACACTGGAAAATAACCTGAGAAAGAAAAAAAGGAGGGCTGTGGATCTCTGGGACCCAGGAAGGATCTGAAGGGAAAAACTGGAACCCACAGAGACAGAGACCTCAACGCAAAGGAGAGAGCAATCTGCACTTTCTTCCCAGCTCCTGGCTCATGGTATGTGAGAAGATTATTGAATCTATAAAGACTCATGAGGGCAGGTGACTCCAGAGGTCTCCAGGGAGAAACACATCAGTGGAGTGGTGCAGTGGACACTGTTTGCTACAATAGCTCGTGACTCCAACAACTGCTGTCCCTAGGAGAGGTTGCTTGGTTGGACACTATTTTAGGGAGAAGCCAGGTGAACCTAGGACTTGGAGCAGCCATGGTTGGCTTCATCTCAGGGCTCCCAGTGTTGAAATTCGATAGTGACTGGGTAAGAGACAACTGCAGGAGATGTCCAGGGTCATGGGGCCCTGGTCAGGCCAGCAAGAGACACCCCGAATATTGTAGGCTGAACATCTAAGGCCCCAATCCCACAGCCAGAGGCCAGGATCAGCCTAAACTTCTGTGGATCTGAAAGTACCAGAACCAGCATGCATGGGTGTGCGCGCGCGCACACACACGCGCACACACACACACACACCCCAATCCTACTTTAGGCTTGCTGGGATTATCCAGGACAGATCTGAACTCTGAATGCCTCTTTTGTCTACCAACAAGAGCAGAGTCAAGCCATGAATTGTACACTAGTACAAAACTGTAGACCCCAGAGGATAACAACTGGCCTGAAATCACAGAGAAATTTATCTTTTTTTCATTGTTTTTTGTTGTTGTTCATTTTAATTGTTTTTGTTTTTTCATGAGTGTGAACATTGCTTTTAGTTTGTTTTGTTCTTGCTTTTTTCTTGCTTTCCTTCCTGTCTTCTTTACCAGTTTCCTGAAGCTTGGGTAATCTTCCATTGTCCTTCAGCCTTGCTTCTAATCTCTTTCTCTTTTATTTCTCTATTTTTCCCTCTTATCTCTTTTAAATTTTCTCCCCTTAGGGTAAAACCACTCTACAGAATGGATATTTACTGTATATAATTTTCTGATTTAACTTATATCATGTTATATAACATATAGATCTTGTACCTGTGATTGAATGTGGCAAATCAATAGTTATCACAGTTTGTCATTTTCTAGTCTGTGCTCGATGCTAATGTTATTACTGATTGTACTATGTTAGCCAAGGAGACAGAGTTGTTGTGATCAGTTGATCTTCCTTGTGTGCTAATACCTAGAGTGGCTGAGAGTCATAAACAGTATTGATATTATAATCCATATAATATGGATTATTATAATCCAGTACCCAAGAACTGGGTACTAGGCCAAAAAGGCAGTAACCCTTCATCCCTAATAAAATGAAGAGACAGGATCAGGATCTTGGGTCAGACTCAAAAGCCAAGAGCCAGCTATGCCTAAAAGACATCTCTGAAAAGTAATCATTTCCTAAAGAGGTCTCAATACTAGTAATAAAGCTATCTACTACAAGCAATTTGCAAGCCTCAATGCAGAAAACAAATAAACAGCAAAAAAAGAACAAAAAGAAAATGAGAAAACACTGAAGATGCAACCCATAATCCCCAACTCCCTCAAGGCAAATTGAGGTAGAAGAAAGATCTAAATATTAAAACAGAAACACTTAATGTGCTGGAAGATAAACTAGGTAAAACTCTCAAAGATGCAGGTATAGGCAAAGATTTTATGAACCCTGATCACACAGTAAATATTACAAAGAATCAATAACTGGGGTCACATCAAATTAAAGTTTTTGCTCAGCAAAAGAAATCACCAACAGAGTAAAGAAACAACCCACACAATGTGAAAAAATTTTTCAAGCTACTTCTCAGACAAGAGGCTAATATCTAGAATATATAAAAAACTACCAAAAGGGCCGGGAATTTAGCTCAGTGGTTTCACCGCCTGCTGTGCAAGCGCAAGGACCCAAGTTTGATCCCCAGTACCAAAAAACAAAAAAAACCCAAAAAACAAACCTACCAAAAAAATCAGACCCCCCCCCCCAAAATTTAAATATCAAATCCAAAAATGGGCATCCTAAATGAATACACTTCTCAGATGAAGAAGTACAAACTGCAAATAAATATATGAAAAATGTTCAACATCTATCTGAAATTCTATCTCACTGGAAAGAATAACTATGATCAAGAAATCAAGCAGGGCAACCCACTTGAAGAAAAGAAAAGAAATCAACCAATAACAAATGTTGGCAAGGCTGTGGGGAAAAAGGAACCCTTCTACATTGTTGGTGGGAGTGTAAATTGGTACAACCACTATGGAAATCAGTATGGAGATTCCTCAAAACACTAGAGGTTCCATTTGACCCTGCTTTCCCCTTCTAGGTATCTTCCCAAAAGAGTTACAAGCATCATACCACAATGATATATGAATACCTATGTTTATGGCAACACAATTTATACAGTTATATCTTGGTTCATGAACTTAATTCTTTCCACAATTCTGGTCACAAGTCAAATTGGTTGAGAACCAAGTCAAATTCAATTGTTAGGTTCAATGTTGACTTTATGGGGAATTTGATTGGTTTGTGACCAATTCAGTTTGCGACCAGAATTGTGGAAACAAGTTTATGAATCAAGGTACCAGTGTAATTGTCCATCAACAGATGAATGAACAAAGAAAATGTGGTTTTCATATACAATAGAGTACAGCACTACTCTGCCATAAGGAAGGATAAACTTGAGACACTTTTAGGTAAATGGATGCACCTGGAGACCATAATGCTAAGTCAAAGAAATCAGGCACACAAGTTTAAATATCACATTGTTTCTCTTGTGTGAGAAACTCAAAGGGTAAATAAGTACCAAAATAGAGGCTAGATAATGGGAAGTAGGAAGAACATGTTCAAAAGGGAAGGGGAACAATGGAAGGGAGAAGGGAAAGAAAAGGAATGGAAAGGGATTAGAAAAAAAAAAAAAAGAAAAAGTGGTATTTATTCACAATGGAGTAATACTCTGCCATAAAAAATAAATTTGAGTGATTTGTAGGAAAATGGGTGCATCTTGAGAACACAATGTTAAGTGAAATAAATCAAAGAAACTTAAGTATTGTAGTTTTCCTTATATGAGAAACCTGAAGTATATACAAAAACAGATAATAAACAGGGAAATCTTTTGGAAACAGAAAGGGCAAGTAAAAACAATTAAAATGTGCTATGTACATGTACCAACTGCCGATGATGAATTTAATCATTATGCACTAGAAATGTACCAATAAATTGAAAATAAATGCACACAAAGATTCAAGAATCCAGCTATCTTCTATTAAGCTGACATTAAAGTGAACTGAAAAATTGTAAAACAATTCTATTTTAATTTCATTTTAGAAAATGCAGCTATTTTTCATAAAAATATTATGATAAATGCAATAGGTTATTTTATTTTTAAGTGAACTGAAACTTTCTCAAGCTCTTAGTTTTAATTACTAACATAGTAGGCTCTTTGAGTAGTCACTAATCATTTTCAAGTGTATAAGAAAAACTGAAACCAAAAAGTTTGACAACTCCTGCATAAAGTGACATTATCAGTGCTTCTGATTTGCTAGTAGTACTTTAAAAACAATTCTTCCAAGGGGCCAGTCTCATTATCCACTAAAGGTTCTATACTCATCATCTGGTTCATGTTGAACAATTACATTCTTAACTAGATTTATGACTCTGTAAGGAACAGTTTAGAGGGTAAAGAAAGTACAGTATTGGATTCTTTTTAGTAAGCCTTCATCTCATTTTTCTGAAAATATTTTCTCAGTGTAATTTATTTTATAAAACCTGTCAATACCTGCTTTGCTGCATCGCGTCTTAAAATTTTCAAAAAAAGTTGGTCTCTCTTTGGATCCAATAGGCATCTTTCTCTACAATATTTTTCCGTTGATTGCTTTACTGTATTTCTGCAAAAGATACGACCAAAGTATACTTCGCAGGGATGCATTCCTTGTTAAGTGAAGTAAAATCATAATCTCTGGTAAGCTTGTCTACAGTTAATTTTTTTACTTTACTCCCACCTTTTAGGGTAATAACGTAACTTAATGTGAGAATGAGAATATACTAGAACTGTGCTGTCCAATCCTATAGACACTAGTCATATAGGGCACTTGAAAAGCAGCTAGTGGGACTAAAGAACGTTTTAACATTAATTTTAACTGCGTTCACTAGGCACGCGTGGTTAGTGGTGGCGCAGTTAAGAATGCTCCTGTTACAGACACAGTTTACAATTCCCAATCTCTAAATCTTCGGAATGTAGCAATTACTGGGAGTTAAGTAAGACACATATTGTGCCCCGATGAAATTTCAGGTTCGGGCAGCTACGCGGCAAATCCCAGCGGCTCGCGGGGCCCAAAGGTGAATTCCCAGGGAAGGGAATGTACTCTGCAGAAACGTGCCTGTGGAACACAATCCCTTCTCAGACAGAGGTGAAAGTCTGCAATGGCAGCGAGGACAAAGGTCGCGGGCTACCACCCGCGTCAGGAGAGGCGCTCCCTGCCCGCCCCGACAACTGGGACAGCTGATGGGAACCCCATCTCCACCCCAGGCACCACTAACCCGCTCCAGAGGTGCGGCTCAATTTTGGCTGGAGTAGCTGGACAAACACTGCGCCAGCAGGCACGTTGGTCACAAGCCGGACCCCTCAGGCTGCTTCCGGTGGCAATCTACATCTCCAAACAAGACTCAAGGTGCACAACCCAGCGGGACCGCGGCCTGATTTAAGAAGCTCGCGCCAAAAACTCTCTGCGTACGTGACGTGATGACGTATACTCGACGTACACGTAACCCGGAAGTCTAGGTCTCGGGTCCCGTCGGCTAGGGGTTTTCCCCGCGAGTGAAAGGGAGTGCTTGCATAGACGTCTTTATGGTTGGTCTTCTCCCGAATAGGGAGCTCACGTGTGGTCTCTTCTCCAAAGTAGTAGTCCGCCCTGCTTGGAGGGGCCGTCTTCTGCCTCTTAGAGCTCCACCGTAGGTGGGCGCCCTTGGAACACGATCTGGGGTTGGGACCTTTGAAAGGCATTTGTTCTGTCCTTAGAGCTAGTGTTCCCTTAGGCCTGCTTTTCAAAGTAGGCCGATTTTAGAAAACCCTCAGGGTGGTCTATGACTGTGGGCTTTCCAACTGCGTGGTAGTGAAAAAGGCAGACATTTGGGAGTAGAGGATCTTAGTTCCAGTAGGCATGTTGCTCTCAGACTTCTGAGCCAGCTTCCCCACTTGAATAATTGTGAAACTCACCTTAATAAAGTGTTCCTGTACTATTAGGTACTCCCCTCTGCAGGCCTTGGTAGTGTCTTTTATGCTTTTAGGGTACCCATCTACTTGTGCCTGTCTTCTCCCTAAACGGACCTCACCTGAATTTACAGAATTTGTAACAATACTAGTATAAAGCTTATTTTGAGTTTGTTGCAGAAACCAGGAAGGCTTCAGCTGGATTCAGGAGGTGAATGCTGCTCATGGGCCTTACTGCTTCCAGAAGGTGCTTGAGCAGTGAGAGCAGAGACAACCTTGGGTTAGGAAAACAGTGAGTTCTACTTGATTCTTTAGGGATCTTTTTAGCCTGATAACCAATAATTCTTAGCTATAGCAGGAGACTTTCCTGATACAGATATAACTAAAGCTTTTTTGATCTTATAGGTCTAGTTAGCAAAGGAATGGAGGTCTGTGATGATAGCAGTATCTACCATTCAAGATTTTATGAGTTTGGCATTCAGCTTTGTGCTTTACAAGCAATAGCACATTTAGTCTTAACAATAATCCTATAATTGGGTTAGTATTGTCTGATGAAGAAACTTAAATTATTAACCTTCCTGGTAACAAGGTCCAGATTTGAATTCAAGTCTGTTTGACTGCATATGCTGTACTTAACTATCTTGCAATGACACTTAACTATCTTGTAAGTCAGAACAATTTGCTTTTTTCCTCTTTTGGGAGGTCAGAGGTGAAGGGGTTAAGGTCACTGGAAATGAACTAATGAGAACCCTTAGTATGTCACAGCACCCTCTGAAATACATTCTCATTGTTTATACTCCCCTATAACTATGTTCCTTGCTTTTGGTACTAGGGACTTGATGTTCATTAGTTATATTGTAGTCCTGTATACTTCCTTCTAGTGCAGCCACTCAGATGACTTACTACTTCAGTTTTTTTTATTTTTTTAAATTATTTTTCTTCACAAGCCAAAATAAACCTGTCCTCCTTTAAGTTGCAGGTGTCAGGTATTTTGTCCCAGTGCTGGAAAGTGACATTGTCCTCAGTATCCACTGCCAAGATGTGGAAGGCTTGTACTATTTTTCACATTTTTATTTCCCCTTTAATTCTCCAATATTGTAATAAAACTCAAAATATGTCAGTAATCATGCTAATACATGGAGTATCCTTAAAACTTTTTCATAAAGATTGTATATAATGTGTACAACATGATGTTTGATACACATATTTGAATGATTATTTCAAGGCAAGCAATAAATACATCCATCTCCTCACATAGTTATCTTTTTAATATGTTTGGTAGGAACACCTAAAGTCTACTCTTAGCAAATTTCCAGATATGATACAATACCATTAACTACTGTCATCAAGTTCTTTTTAGTTTTTTTGGGGGGGGGTGAGTACCAGGAATTGAACTCAGGACCTTGTGCTTGGCAGGCAGGTGTGGGGCACTCAGCTACATCCCTGGCCCCTAGACTTTTTCATCTTTTAAAACTACAGCTTTATATTCTTTGACCAGCCTTTTCCTCTTTCTTCCAGCTCTCTATTCCTGGTAACTGTGTCTTTGACTTTTTTTCGATACCACATAAGTGAGATCATGCAGTATAGCAGACATCTCTGCCCAGTATTAGCAGACTCTGGTTAATTGCAACCCAGTCTCAGCACCCTTTGATCTCTCCAAGCAACACAAGCAGTGCCTTCCTTCTTTACATCCCTGTTTGCACATCACCTATCCCAGCCTGCATATCAGATATTCCTGCCTACATATTATCAGCCATGCCAGATTCTTCCAGCCAGATGCTTTCAGACACTTCACACTGTGCTGCTAGATGTCTTCAAAGCATACTTTTCCTACCTTCCCACACTTGTTGTAGTCAATAAAATACTGGGTGCCCTTTGTGCCCCTTTACTGCTCAGAGCATCCTGATTAGCCCAAGACCCAATTCTAAGTGTTCTTTCTGTCTTTACTTTTATTCAGCTTTGTGTTGTGTATCACAGGAGGCCAGGACTCACTGCAGAGGTCTCTGGTAATGTCCTCATTCCCGTTCCCTATAATGCAGTATTTTTTTTCCATATGGCTTATTTCACTCAGCATAATATCGTCTGGACTCATCCATGGTATTGCAAAAGGCCAGCACTCCTCTTTTAAAACGTCTGAATGATATTCCCATGTATATCATAATTTATTCATCTGTCAGTGAACACAACATTTTCATAGCTTGACTTATGAATAATTCTGCAATGAACATGTATTGTAGATATTTCTTTAGAACATTGATTTCTTTGGGTATATATTGAAATAGTGGGATTGCTGGATCATATGGTGGTGGTATTTTTTCGATTTTTGAGGAGCTGCTATACTGTTTGCCATAATGGCTTACTAATTTACATTTCCATCAACAATGAACAAGTAATCTATGAAATGATCACTAGAGGAATAAAGCACGTGGGTCAATAAGTCAGAAATGAAAACAGCTATGAAAAAAGATTCAGGAACAGTAAATTGAAGAGGTAGGGAAAAGCAATTAGGAATCAAGCAGCAATTAGATTTCTGTAGGTAGGTAGCTCTTCCCTGCTTCAATTAGGATAATAGGTGACATCTGTTAGATTCTGAAATAAATGGAGAAGCAGGGATGAACCAGCCTGATTAGGAAAAAGAAGGGGTAATGATGGTGGAACGCAAAACAAGAGCACAAACTGCATGAGGATTTTGTGCCTGCGCACCTGATAACCAAATGGAACGCTTTGTCCGTGTTCCTTATGTCTGGTACCAGGGCTATGGAAACACACTGCCCTTGGGCCAGCCTGGACTCTCAAGGCACAATCAAGCCAACTGGAGGCAAAATATGGGTCCCCCCACTTTCCTGGCCAGGCCAGGGCTGCTGGTGCCAGCAAATGCCTCTGAATACTGCATGGATCCTTACAGAAGGGCACACTTTAAAGCCATTCTCACCCAGATGAACCCCAACCTGAGCCTACGGCTGTGCAAGGCCAACACCAAGGAGGTGGGTGTACAGGTGAGCTTGCAGGTGGACAGGTCCGTGCAGTGCTCGCTGGGTCCTCAAACTCTGCACAGCTGCTGCCCATGGGACAACACTGGCCACAGGGAATGCATGACAGCCTGGGGAGTCAGTTCACCAGTGATTGGCCATAGGAGTCTGATCCATTTAAGAAAGGATGGAGAAGATGGCAAAAACAAGGTGGTTTTAGGCCCTGGGGAGGCCAGCCAGCAGCCACCACCAATGCCAAGGTCAGAAGATGAAAGGCAGGAGGGACTGCCTCAGTCCAAGGAGTTGGTGGAGGAAGATGTCAAGTGTCTTAGTGAAAGGAAGAGCAAGCAGGTACAAGGAGATGCAACTGGCTGTCCACTTCAGAAGCCCAGCTTCCAGGTAGCCTTTCTGCTCTTTTTCTTAGTGTCATGCCAGTCCTGTCTTCTCTTTCCTTTTCCATTTCTGGGGCAATAACAGTAAAGCTTTCTCTTGCTTCCTTTTATTGAGAGAGAGAGAGAGAGAGAGAGAGAGAGAGAGAGAGAGAGAGAGGGATTGTTTTGAAAATATGTATTTTACGTGGCCTGTAGTTTTGCAAGTTTTTGGTGTAACAGAGTGCCAAGTCTGACTTAAATCTGTGAAGGCTAAAGGTGTGGCCACCACTGCTACTTAGTTTTAGGGCAAAAGCCCCAGCTTTGGGGAAGGGGGCAAAAGACCAGGTTCAATCACCCACACCTAAATGCCAATCAAGGAGAAAGTGGTGAAAGGCAGGAAAGGAACTTTAATCAGTATGCCCACAATGAAAAAGACAGATAAAGGAGTTCCGGATCTATCTTCAAGGGGTTGAGAGAACCTCTGGAATTTTATAGAAGAAGGGAACAACATCAATAGTTGGGGGTTTGCATAGCTGGGTAATTCACACAGCTGGAAATGGTAGGTAATCCTAACGAGGTAGTGGTCTGATTGATTGATATTTTACGACTGGTTCTGAGAGAGCCATCATTGCTTGGAAGGGTAGTTTTGTTCCCATCGTTTGTTGATGGCTCCTGTTTTGGGGACAGCCTAAGTTCCTGTCATGGGACAGCTGCCCCCTGTTGGGTATGACCTTACCACAGGATGGTCACTTGGAATCTTTTCCTGAAATCTGACATGACAGACTGAAGACTTCTAGACATTGCTCCAGATGGTCTGGAACTGAACAGTGTAAAGCTGGCAATTGGATACCCCTGCAAACCCTGGAAACTACTGTATTTATTCTTAGCTTGGTGTCCTCAGTCTTAAAAAGGGGGTGAGAAAGGCCAGGTCAATTTAGGGCTAAAAATCCTTGAATTACACACACTCCTTACGTGAATAATGTGTGTATGTACATGGCTAAGCAGGGACCTGACCCTAAGTTTCAAGGCAATCCAAGCTTCATCCTGCTTTTAGATACCCACTGCAGGCCCAACTTCTGGGTCCTTGTTACATGAGGAGACAAAGAGCTTTAAGTGTGTGAACAAGAAGTCAGATTTTCATTTTAGGAAATTATGCTCATGGTGGTATAGAAAATGGACTGGGAAAATAAAAGCAACAGCAGCAAGAAGAATTCCAGAGTAATTCTTAAGGCAGATGAGAAGCTAAATTAATGTAGAGTAGTAGCATTGAGACTAGAATAGACAGAAGTGAGGGCAAGAAGGTAATTTTCATTTTCATTTATATTTATTTATTTATTTATTTATTGGGTACCAGGGATCGAACTCGGGTCCTTGCACTTGCAGGGCAGGCACCAGAACCGCTGAGCTAAATCCCCAGCCCGATAATTTTTATTTCTTAAAGCAATTAGGGAAAGAGAATCTAGACTCCCCCAATTTAATGAGTCCCCCTCTCCTTTATTTTCAGTTTTTGGAACCAAAATACGGCTATTTTCACTGTAAAGATTGTAAGACTAGATGGGAGAGTGCATACGTGTGGTGCATTTCCGGAACTAATAAAGTAAGTAAAAGTGAGTGGGAAGTAGGGGGAGAATGGGATGGGCACCGATATCAAATGGAGGCAGAGTGTTTCTCCGTGGAATATGACTGCCACCGCCTATCTTGTTCATCCTGGTCCTCAGTGCTGGGCATGCAGTTAGTGCTCAGTGAATGTTCAAATTGAACAGGCTACCTATTCCTGAGCCATACCGTGGCATGTCAGGTTTGATGCTTCTATTGGACCAAATTTCAGGTTATTTAGATGGGCTTTTGCTCTTGTCAACATGGGACTTTCTGTAATCATTTTTTTGTTGGTATACTGTAGTTTGTTTGAACAAGTTTAGGCCTTGCCTCAAGAAAATTGCCACTTTTTGCCACAAGGTGGGGCAATAAGAGAAATAACATAAAGGTTAATTTAAGAAGGAGAGGTTTACTTTGGCAGGTATGCTGGTGCCCGCCTGTAATCCCAGTTACTGGGAAGTTTGAGGCATGATAATTCCAAATTTGAGGCCAGTTTGGACTACTGAGTAAGATTTTGTCTCAAAATAAGAATAAAAAGGACTAGGGATATAGCTTAGGCATGGAGAGCCCTTGGATTTAATTCCCAGTGTGGGATTTTAAATTTTTATTTAGGTTAAAACTAACACATTCACTTAATTGCCAACATATTAAAATTGGGAAAAACTTCACATTCAGATTGCATTTCTGGACTTCTCTGCCTTTTTTTTTTTTTTGGTACCGGAGATCGAACTCGGGTCCTTGCGCTTTTGAGGCAGGCGCCGGAACCACTGAACTAAATCCCCAGCCCTTGCATTTCTGGACTTTCTTGAACAGCCATGGGCTCTGCTCTGGTCATGATGGACCCTCATTTCAGAATGAGAACAGTAGGTTGTGGCTGAGCAGTTTCTGTCTCCTTTTTCTTTTTTTTCTATCTGGGATCAAACTCGGGTCCTTGCGCTTGGGCAGCAGGCGGCAAAACCACTGAGCTAAATCCCGGGCCCTCTGTCTCCTTTTTCTTGCCTTGTGGACTTCATTTTGTAGCAGTTTACATCAGGCCATTTCTTTAACTTTTAAGAGCATCTGAGTTTGTGTTTGTTCAGAGGCTGCCTTTCTGGCTAAAGGACTGTGGAGGGATAGGGCAGAGAAGCAGGTTGTGACCTGAATGAAAATTTGACTTAACCATTTGCTAGACCTAGAAGGTGAATAGATTTTCAAACCAAGTTAAAATTACTTCCTGTCTTGTCTCTTGCCTGAAGAAAAACAATGGGGTTGATTCAGACACGCCAAGGCACTAGAACACAAAGAATGTGACATAGAACTTGTCCTTAAGAAATGCATTATGATAGGAGTGATGCAGACAAAATGCAGTTTGGTGGTATATGCAGTAACATTCATGGCATGGAAGTGGTACAGAAATTACACAGGAAGGGGAGGGGATTAACCTGTCTGAGGGATAGTGTCATGATTTCAAAATACGACTTTTGAAGTATAAATCAGAAGAAATAACCAAGTAAAGCAGGGAGAAAATGTGCACAGGAAAATACACAGTCCAGAAAGCACATGAGCATATGGTATTGATGGATAACCACAGGTAAGTTAAAGCTCAGGTGGGGAAATAACTGGAAAATCCAATACATCAAGGCTAATGGACTAGGACAAATGATGAAATGTTTGTTCCACACAAATGGGTAAAACTATAATGACCATTTTCCATTGTGTATGTATTATAATTCTTTATGTGTGTTACTGGTTAGTTGTCAGAACTATTTTACAGGTAAGGAAAATCTAGGTCATAAGGTTAAAAAAGGTGACCGATAGCCCTGGCAGAGCTTAAAACTGCAAGGTTGGAAGTTGGATAAAAGTGAAGTACAAGGTGAAGGAACAGATTCCTTAAATTAAGAACTGGGAGCAATATATATATTATATATATTATATAATATATATCACTATATATATCCATATATACCCATATATATATACATTCCGACTTGTATTAAACAATAATTTTATCTTTAGGTTTATTTCAAACAACTCTGTTGCAAATGCCAAAAGAGTTTTAACCCTTATCGAGTAGAAGCAATCCAATGTCAGGTAAGCATATTGAACATTTTTACTTTTTCTTTAATGTTTGTCAACATGAATCCTCAGATTGAATTGGATATTGGCATAGTAATGTTAGGTTTTCTATATATTTGAAACTTTATAATTAGATAATTTAGAAAAAAAGGCATAAATTCTAATTTGTGTTCTTGACAAGAAAGATGGGGAAGATTTACTATTTTCAGTTGCCTTATGAGGTGTTTGTGTACAGTGTATGTGTGTTTTTCCTGAGAGATTTGGTAGTTCAAATGTAGTAATTTGATAAGTAACCATTACTAAGCGTTTACTGTTTGCTAGACTTTGGGCTGTTTTACATGCATTATCCCTTGTGATGTAGCCTTTCTGATAGTTATTTCCATTTTACAGATCAAAATGCTAAATTCAATAAAATAAAATAATTTGCCCTAGGTTAGACTCATAGTATTAGATCCGTGATTGGACTCCAGGTGTCTCCAATGTTTAGAAAATCACAGAACAGATGAGATCTTAACTTCCAATGAAGTCTTTTTGCATTTCGGGGAGACAGTATGTGGAAACCTGTCTTTAAACTTTTCAGAAAAGTGCAACATAATTTTTGAATTTAAAGAGTTTTTTAAAGTTGGAGGCTGGGCATGGTGGTGCATGCCTATAATCCTAGCTCTCAGGAGGCTGAGGAGGAGGATCCCCATGAGTTCGAGGCCCGCCGGAGCTACATAGTGAGACCTTGTCTCAACTCACCCCCCCAAAAAAAACCCACAAACAAAAAACCATAAATAAATAAATTATTTAGGGTGAGGTAGCACACATCTGTAATCCTAGCAGTCTAGGATGGAGGCAGGAGAATAGCTAGTTGCAGCCCAGCCTTAGCAATTTAGTAAGACCCTGTCTCAAACATAAAAAGTATTAAAAGGGCTGAGGATGTAGGCCATTGTGAAGACCCTGGGTTTAATTCCCAGTACAGATATTCCTTGTTTAACCACCTGCCTGTTTAATCACTGTTTGGACTTAAAACCCGTGTTTAGACATCTACACAGGAACATGAGTGGCAGTGTAGCCTTGTGGTGGCTTTTGCTGTAGTACAGTACTGTAATTTTTGCTGGTTTTACTGTATAGTACAGTATTGCAGTTGTATGTTCTGTTATATATTACAGGACTGGATGTAAGAGTTAAGCAAATAAAAACAAAGTCATCAAGCGGGAATTTCCTTTGACCATTTCTTTGTTCTGAATATTGTAATGTACACATTATATACAATTCATTTAGCGAGCAATTCGTTAACAGCCTAGTAGTAGGACTGTAGCTTGGTTGTTAAACAAGGAATGTCAATACTGCACAAAACAAAAAAATAAATCTTCCAGTTAAAAATTTTTCCCTTTTTCTGTGGTTAGTAAATGATATTTTTAAAACTAGTTTATAAATGACTTATCCTCAGATTTTCTGGACTGAGATTCTTAGTATTCTTGTGTTTAATATCCCTTTATTAAATTGTATTTAAATATAGTTTCTGTTTTTCTTTTCCTTTTTTCATTTTTTTGAGTCAGAGTCTTACTGTGTAGTTCAGGCTGGCCTTGAACTCACTATGTAGCCCAGGCTGGCCTCGAATTCATAGTGATCCTCCTGCCTCAGCTTCTGAGTACTGGGATTACAGGTGTGCACCACCATGCACAGCTATTTTCTGTTTTTCTGTAATCTACTTTTTTTTTTTAATGTTCATTTGATTTTTAAAATTTCATTTTTCAATCAGTTATCTTGGTAGTTATTCATTCTTTTTTGTCATTCTTTAATGTTCTCCTAGTGGTTACTATAGAGATTATAGTATGACTCCTTGACTTATAAAGGACTAAATATATTTACCTTTCCTCAATGCAATGGCTTTAGAATACTTGCATCGCTTCATCCTAATTTATGTGCTGCCAGTTTTGTATATTTTAATTTTACCTATATTTTAAGCTTTGAGATATTATTTTATCTAGTCAATATTCATTTAGCTTTAAGTACATATTTATCCTTTATGTTGCTCTGGGATCTTTTTTATATCTTTTTCTATATGGGATCACTGTCTTCTACTTGAAGAACACACTTTAATGTTTTTTGTTGTATAGGTATGAAGGTGACAAATTCTAATTTTGTCTGGATATTTTTTCAAAACACATTTGCTGGGTATAGAATTTGTAGTTCTTTCTGTCTTTTTCTTGGTTTTCTGAGACAAGGTCACACTGTGTAATTGAACACTATGCAATTGAACAACAGCCTTGAACTTGCTATGTAGCCCAGGCTGGCACTGAACTCACAATCCTCCTGCCTCAGCCTCCTGAGGCCTGAAATTGCAGGTGTGTGATACCAGTTCTGGCCTTTCTGGCCTTTAAAGGTGTGTCATTTTTGTGCAGCTGGCCGCTAGTCTCATTGCAGCTTGTTTGAAGTAATCTTTCTCTTGCTCTCCTTCTGCTTGCTTTTAAGATTTGGAAAGAATTAAGTTCATGAACCAAGGCACCACTGTATCCCTCTCTGCTTTGATTTTCAGCACTGTTACAATGATGTGCCTGGTTGTGGCTTCTCTGTATTTGTCCTGCCTCTTGTATCCGTGGGATGTTTCTTAAATCTGTGGCTTGGAGATTTTAATTACTTTTGAAAAATTATTGCCCATTACCTTTCCAATATGTATTATTTTTGCTCCTATTCTCTATGTCTCTTTTCTCTGATTACTCATATTAGGCCTTTGCCATAATTCTGACTCCTATGATCTTTTAAAAATACATATTTTTTGCTTTTGGTCTCTTCTTGCTCCAGTCAGGGTATTATCTACTAAACTATTTTCCATTCCTAATTATCTCAACTTTTTCTCATTTGCTATTAACACTATCCACTAAGTTATTGGTATCAATTATATTTTCTGTTCTAGAAGTTTTATTTCCTTGAACTTGCATAATTTTTTAAAATCTGAAAGATAACTCTATTACCTTACTCTCTTGTGCATCTGTTGCTATCCTCTTGATTTTCAAGTATATTGTTCTGTCTCCTTGTGTACCTGGTCACTTTTTTCACTCGAGTATTAGTATCATTTATTAACAATTTGGAAAATTTGTAGCCTAGGATAACATCTTCTTCAACAGAGGATTTATGTTTATTCTGATAGGCAGACAGATAAACTAACAATTTCAGGTCACTATTTTCCAATCAATGTTGAGTTGTTTTGAAACTAAGCTTCAGCACCTGTAAAGGCAGGTCTATTTTTGGCACAACCTTATTCTTGGGTTGTAACCTTCAGGTTCCCACCACAAAGTCTGAGTTGTTTACTGGTGCTCTTCTAGTGTGGCATATCCCTTAGCCTCATCAATTTGTTAATCTAGTTTTCAGCTTCCTCTTGTTTTTTATGTCTTTCAGAATTGGCAAGTAGTTTTACAAACAGTATCTCTTGTAGTCTAACCCTGGTGATAGATGTTACCCCCATTTTATAGATCAGAAAGCTAAATTTAATTAGAGAAAATAACTTTCCCAAGTTAGGCTGATAGTATTAGACCTGTTATTGGATTCTATGATGCTGCCAATGTCTAGAAAAATCACAGAACCAGATGAGATGTCCCTTCCCATTAAGTCCCCTTCAGTTGTGTGGGGAGGTATCTAAAAATACTTGAAGGGAAGCTATCTAAGCTTTTCAAAATAGGGCAATATAGTTGTTGTTGTTGTTTTATAATCAAGAGGGGTGTTTTTGTTTTTAAAATAATCACCAAATGTCAGGCCTACCTTTATTTCTGAGTTTCTATTTTTAAAGTTTTGACAATTTCCTTCAAGCAGTTATTTTTAGCTCAACTTTTCTAGTTGTCTGGCAGGCTTGGTCAGAATTCCCTAATCCACCATTGCCAGAAGCAAAAATCTACCCTAAGATAAACCATTACTTTATTAAACCCTTTCTTCCTTAAAAAGAAATTGTGAAAATTAAACAAATCTATAGAAAGTGCTTAAGACAGTGGTAGATATGTATACAACATATAGCTGTTAGAATTTTCTTATAAGGAGAAATAATCTTCAGTGAGAGAGTGGGGAATTTGGATATTGTATAATGTTTGATAGATCATATTTAAGATTCCTATTTGGAAAATGGAAGGGCCTATTTTTTTTGTAGTATGCAAAGATAAATCTTGACATATGACGTATAAACAGAACACAGCAGTGATTATCAATTTTAATGATTAGCAGGGATAGGAGGATGGACCAGGGAAGTACATGTCCTCATAGGGTATAAGTTTTTATTTAGCAGAAGATAGAATGGACTAATGATTAAAAAATACTGCTTTAAATGTTAGTAAAGATTGGGCACGTCTGGAAAGAAAGGAATTTTGCTTCCTCTAGAAGCACCTTCCTCTTAGTTATAACAACCCAAAATATCTCTCTATATAGCCAAATGTCCCCAGTAAATCACACCTAGTTAGAACTATTGTTATATTATGTTTCAGTGTTCTTAGATAATCAAATCACTTAATCCCACCTGCTATAAATACATGAAGCTACACAGAGAGGAACTCTATAAAAGTCTTTAATTTTTATGTTCTCTTAGTTGATTTAGAAATATTCTCTCGAACATCTCTGATCATTCATCTTGAAAAATGTATGGCATTTAATGGGATTAATTGGTTTTTTACAACTTAGTAATGAGCTTCTTATAGCAGTAAAAGAAAGATGAAGATAATAGGGATGTGGTGAAAGTATTTTGATTTGAGGATTACTCTTGAAACACTAACTTGATCATTAGTATCCAAACTATTCCTTATTTTCTAAAGACCTGTTCAAAGTCTCGATGTTCCTGTCCTCAAAAGAAAAGACACATTGATCTAAGGAGACCTCATCGACAAGAACTGTGTGGTCGCTGCAAAGACAAGAAATTCTCCTGTGGCAATATTTCCAATTTTAAGTACATGATATGACAGGCAATATGGTTTATGAACTCTTACACCTTACTGTAACTGTCTTTTTGGCAACTTAGCTCTGACTTGGCATTGGATAATGGACTAGGCTTTTGTACTTTTTGTAGGTTGTATAACATTTGTATAATATGAGTAGAATAAAATAAATGCATGTATGTTAGACCATGAAGCCACATTATTGGTAATCTCAGGGTATATAGCAATAAGAAATGGTAGATATTATCAGATATGTCACAGGAATAATGAAGAGGAAAAATAGTCATTCACTTGACAAACTTGTAAACTGAGTGTTCTAAGCACTGGGAATATAGAGATGATCAAGGGGGCAATGTCCTTGTTTCCAAGTATACATAATTATAGCAGATGTTGAAATAGCACCTAGCATGTGTCAGGCATTATAACTCTTCACAGCCTCATATTAAGTTGGAATTATTATACCTTTTCATAGGTATGGAGATGGAGGCACAGAGAAGTCATGGGGTAGATCCAGAATTTGAGCCCAGGTAGACTAGGACTTGTTGCATGCTTGTAGTTACTGTATTTAAATTAAGGCTGTGATATGTCCCATGAATGAAACATGGTACTAGGGCAATAGCCCTTTTAGAGTGGCTGAGAAGAGGTGACATGAAAATTAAGACTTGCAGGAAACAGGAAGCTGGGAGAAGATGGTTTTGATCCAAGGGAACAGCAAGAGCAAGGGCCCTGAGGGATTAGGGAACATATTGAGCATGTTCTAGTGAAGGGAGTTTCTTGAGGCAAAAGTTGGACATAATACTGAAGAAGACAGATCACTAGGATTCTTAACCCATGACCAAGCATATGCAAGCCCATGAAAGGGATACAAGGTAGTGACATCAGCTTTTTACTTTACTAAGATCACTTCCTGCTGTGAGGGAAGATTAGGAAGGGTGGAAGGATGAAGACAGGCTAGGGAGTTTAATGGACCCATGAGCAGAATGATGCTTGAACGAGGGTGGCAGCCATGGAGATGGAGATAAGTCCGTAAATTCAAGATGATGCTTGCAAATGTGCAGGATTGGCAGTGGATGGTTGAGGAAACAAATGATGAGCCTTAGATTTCTGCTTTGAGCTAGGGGATGAATGGTATTGAGCAGTACCCAACTTAGGCAGCATTTTCTGGAGTCAGTTTACCTAACTGGAATGTGAGGAAGGAAATTATAAAGATGAGAGCAGAAATTAATGAAAATGAGACAAAAAACAATACAAAGAACCAATGAATCAAAGAGCTGGCTCTTTGAAAGAATAAAATAGACAAACCCTTAGCCAATCTTACCAAGAAAAAAAGACTCAAAACAATACAGTTAGAAATGAAAAAGGTGAAATCACAACAGACACTGCCCAAATCCAGACTATTAGTAATTACTTTGAAAACTTGTACTCCAATAAATTGGGGAATCCAGAAGAAATGAATTGATTTCTAGATACATATGAATTTGCCGAATAGAACAAAGAAGATATAAAAACCCTGAATAACTCAATAACAGGCAATGAAATTGAAGCAGTAAATTAAAAAAAAGCCCAAAAAACAAAAAACAACAAAAAACAACCGAGACTATCCCAGGACCTAATGTATTCACTGCTTACTTCTATAAGAACCTCAGGGCTGATCTAATGCCAACCAGTCCTCAAAGTCTGTGACAAAATCAAAAGAAAAAGAGTATTCCCACAGTCATTCCTAGAAGCTAGAATAACTGATTCCAAAACCAGAAAAGGAACCAAATAAAAAAACTATAAGCTAGAAAGGAGGGACAAGAAAAAAAGTGAAAATAGAAGAAAAAAATGGAAACAAAGCTTTTGTAAATAGGGAGGGTAGGGGGGTTGTAGAGGAATGGGATAAAATAAAATAAAATTTATTTTAAAAACAAACAAACATAAACTAAGCTAATTTCGTTGATGAACATAGATGCAAAAATCTTTAACCAAGGTACTGGCAAACAGAATAAAACAAATCATCAAAAAGATCATATATGATGACCCAGTAGGCTTCATCTCAGGGATGTAGGGATGGCTCAACATATGCAAATCAACAAATGTAATACATCATATAAACAGAAGTAACAATAAAAAAAAAATCACATGATTATCTCAATAGACACAGAAAAGGCCTTTGACAAAATTCAACATTATTCATGATAAAAACCCTGAATAAAATAGATATAAAAGCCCAGCACCCAGGAGGCTGAGGCAGGAGGATCACCATGAGTTCGAGGCCAGCCTGGGCTACATAGTGAGTTCAAGGCCAGCCTGAAGTACATAGCAGGACCCTGTCTTAAAAAAACCAAAAAAAATTTTTAAAAGATATAAAAGGACCTTATCTCAGTCTGTTAAAAGCCATTTATGACAATGCCACCATCAACATCATATTAAATGGGGAAGAGCTGAAAGCTTTATCTGTAAAATCAGGAACAAGACAAGGATGTCCACTTTTACCACTCCTGTTCAATATAGGACTTGAAACAGTAGCTAAAGTAATCAGGAAAGGGAAAGAAATATAAGGAATATATCTTGGAAAGGAAAAAGTCAAATTATTATTTGCAGATGGCATGAACCTCTACATAGAGGACCAAAACAGTTCCACTAAAAGACTACTAGAATTCATAACCAATTCAATAATGTAGCAGGATACAAAAAATCATACAAAAATCAATGGCATGCGCAAGCACAAGGACCTGATTTCGATCCCTCGTACCACAAAAAAAAAAAAAAAATCAATGGCATTTCTGTAAACCAATAATGAACTCACTGAGAAAGAAGTTAGGAAAGCAATACCATTCACAATAGAATCAAGGACAACTAAATACTTAGGAGTTAACAAAGGAACAAAGGAAGTGAAAGAACTCTACAATGAAAATACTGTGTACTTCAAAAAAGATTGAAGAGGATATAGAAAATGGAAAGCTATCCTCTGTTCCTAGATAGGCACCAATATAGTAAAAATGCCATACTTCCAAAACTGTCATAGAGATTTAATGCAATGCCAATCAAAATACCAATAGCATTCCTCACAGAAGAAGAGAAAAGAATCTTAAAATTTCTATGAAACAAGAAAGGACCCAGAACAGAAAAGCAATTCAGGGCAACAAGAGCAAAACAGAAGGCCTTACAATTCTAGACTTCAAATTATACTACAAAGCTATAGTGATAAGAACAGCACGATATTGGCACAAAACCAACATGGGTTAATGGAACAGAATAGAGAATGCAGAAACAACTCCAAGCACATTAAGCTATCTGATTGGTTTTATAAAAAAATTAATTTTATTGGTACATTTTAGATATACATACTGACCACATTCATCATAGGGAATTTATATGTGTACATAATATATCTTGATTCTTCTTTTTTCCCCAGTCCCCTCCCTTCCAATACATCTCCACCTTATTTACAAAAGTTTTGTTTCTCTTATTTCCCTTCTATTCTCTTATTTTTTCTTTTCCCTTTCTTGGTTTCCCCCTCCTCCCAATGTGTTCCTATTCCCATTTGAATATTTTGTTCCTATTTCCCAATATCTGTTATGCATTTTGGTCCTTATTTACCCTTTCAGTTTCTTGCACCAGGGAAACAATGTGATATTTAAACATATGTGTAATATTTATTTCACTTAAGAGTATGGTCTCAAGTTGCTTCCATTTACCTAGAAATGTTCCAAGCTTATCCATTTTTATGGGGGAGTAGTACTCCATTTTATAAAAAAAAACCCGAATGTATCCATTCATCCATTGATGGGTATTTGGGCTGTTTCCAAGATTTAGCTATTACAAATTATGCTGGTATAAACATGGGTGAGCATATATGGCTGTGGCATGATGCTTCTAATTTTTTCAGGAAGATACCAAGAAGGGGAATAGTTGGGTCAAATGGAACCTCTCATTTTAGTTTTTTTCAAAAATCTCCACACTGATTTCCACAGTGGTTGCACTAGTTTACACTCTCAGCAACAATGGAGAAGGGTTCCTTTTACCACAAGCACCATTTATTGGTTGACTTCTTGAATATAGCCATTCTTTCTGGAGTAACATGAAATCTCAATGTCGTTTTGATTTGTATCTCTGAAATGACCAGTGATGTTGAAGATCTTTTGATATATTTATTTGCTGCTGTTTGTACTTCTTCATCTAAGAAGTATATTCATTTCTAACACCCATTTGTGGATGGGGTCTCTAAATTTGGGGAGAGTCTGATTTTTTGAGTTTTTATATATTATAGATTTATATAATATTCTATATTCTTATATAGTCTATATTCTATATAATATCTAGAATATAATATATAATCTAATATTAGAATAACCTAATATTATATACTATATAATATTAGAATGTTATATATTCTAGATAGTAGTCCATTGTCTGAGAAACAGCTGGAAAAATTTTTTTACCATTGTGTGGATTGTCTCTTCATTCTCTTGGTGGTGTCTCTGTGCAAAAGCTTTTTAATAAGATGATATCCCAGTTGTTGATTCTTTGTAATATTTCATATGCAATTAGGTTTTGTTCATAAAATCTTTGCCTACACTTGTGTCTTCAAGAGTTCTACCTATTCTATCTTCCAGCAGATTTGGTATTTCTGTTTTAATATTTAGATCTTTGATCCATTTCAATTTTAGTTTGGTGCATGGTGAGAGATATGGGCCTACTTTCAGCCAGTTTTTCTAGCACTATTTATTAAAGGGGCCATCTTTCTCTTAGTCAGGGTGTTTGGCTCTTTTGTCAAAGATAAAGTGGTTGAGTGTGTTTGGAGTTGTTTCTGGATCTTTTGGTCTGTTTCATTGATCCTCAGGTCTTTTTTTTTTTTTTTTTTTGCCAGTGCTATGCTGTTTTTATCACGATAGCTTTATAGTATAATTTCAAGTCAGGGATTGTGATGCTCCCCACCTACCTTTGTTACCTAGAATTCTTTTTGCTATTCTAGGTCTCTTCTGGTTCCATATGAATTTTAGGATTGTTTTCTCTAATTTTGTTAGGTATACTATTGGTATTTTGATTGAGATTGCATTAAATCTGTATAGCAATTTTGGAAGTACGGCCATTTTCACTATATTGGTTCTTTCTATCCAAGAACAAAGAATATCTTTCCATTTTCTGATATCCGTTTTGATGTCCTGTTTCAGAGCACTGTAGTTTTCAAAGTAAAGGTCTTTTACTTTCTTCCTTAGATTGATTCCTATATTTCTTTTTTAAATGCTATTATGAAAGGAGTGGTTTCCCTAATTTCTCCCTCAG